TCTTGGAAGCCAAGCAGGGTCAGCCCTGCTTAGCATTTGGATGGGAGATCACCAATGTTCCCTCTAAGCTGTGGAGTCTTCTGAGCAAAAATTCTACTTTGTGAGCTACTGGCATTAAAGCTGTGAGCGAGCCATTTGGTGACTGCCTAAATTAGTTTGCTCTGGAGCCATCCCTTCCTGAGCTGAGACAAAAATGTGTGAGCAGGAGGCTAAAAAACTGCGAACTGGGGCTCACACTAACTCAGCTTAGAGGGAACACTGGAGACCACCGAGGAAGCCCAGGGTTACTGCACAGAGGAAGGCAGCGGCAAACCACCCAGTTGTCTCTTGCCCTGAAAACCCTGCGGAGTCGCCATAAGGCAGCTGCGACTTGACGGCACGTTCCACTACCGCGGTGGCTAAAATAATATCGAAAACATTCACGTGCCACCTCTTCAGAGACCTGCTGGAGGTGGGAAAAAATAACCAAAGCGCGAAATGCGCAGAGCGCAAAGACAAGACCCGTCCCTCTTCAGACGGTGTCATTTCGGAATGCCGGTGGGGGGGGGGACTGAAGGACCGGACGCTCCACCCCATAGCCGGAATTCCCTGCGACAAAGAACAGCTCGGCCTCGCTCGGACCTGCTTGCCTTACCCCTTCATGAGGGTTCTGTCGCAGAACGGAACTGAAACCACACAATTCCTACCCACCCCCAAAGTAAATGATAAAACGGTAGAGTCCAAAGTGGACTGTAGGAGATATTTCTTCTAAATGTGGAGGCCAAACGAAGCAGGCGGGATGCATATCTGGCCCCTGGTGTTTCAAACGTCTCCTTATAGGTAATGCACTCTGGCTTTCCATCAAGAAACTCAAGAGGCATACACAAGAAGCAGCACAAGAAGTAGGGCATTTCCAGTTTATCGGGAAAGCTGAAAATTTGGTAGCCTTGAACACCCCCGATCTCTACAGACACACCAAATGGAACGTTTCCACAACCTCTCCCTCAACAGGGAATGCTTATTTGTACCCTAAAAGGCTTCAGATGTTTACACAGCCAGAATGCAAACAAGTATCCCAAAGCTTACTGAACTGGGACATCTGTTTTAACTGTCCGAAAATTCGGGACGTGCAGCTCCCTTCGCCTGTGTGAACTGTCTCCACGTCACATCCTTGATTCTGCCTTGACAAAAAAAGGGCAGGGGTGAAGGCATATCCTCATAGCAGGGTTCCCCAATGTGATGCCCGTGGGTAACACAGCACCCACCCACACCTTTCCCAAGGCCCACTGAGTGTTTTTAGAAAGTGGGCGGAGCAAGGGCTTTTGCCTTAACAGGGGTTTCTGACTGGCTGTGCAGATCTTTAAAAACGTTGCTTTGGCAGCAAGCTGCCAAAACAGCACACAGATCTTCACTGGGTGACGGAAGGGAAGTTGCGTGTAGGCAGGGGTCATTTCCTGCAGGAGTGCACAGGAGCGGAGCTCCGGCAGTAAAGGGCCCAGGGGGTGGGCACATGCAACAAGCCACACCCCCTGCTCCCAGCAGCCCTCAGTCAGAGCAAGAAGCAGCCAGGTAAGTTGCAGAGCTCCCCTCCGACCCCCCCATCCAAAACAGTCCAGTGGCACCTTTAGGACCAAGTTTTATTCGGGTACAAGCTCTCCCTCCTCTGTGAGGACAGATTTGCACATTCCCAATAGCTTGCAATCCAAAACAGTCCAGTGGAGCCTGAGCGGTGGGTGTTGCCTTCTGACACACTTCCGGTGATGTCAGGGGGTGTGGCATATGCAAATACGTTATGCTAATGAGCTCATGCACCTCTTTTTCTACGAAATGACCCCTGTGTGTAGGCAAGGAAGTATTTCAAAACACCATGCTCATTTTAAAAGGCATCCTATTAAAAACAGAGTTTCTGTCTGAAATGTTGAAGAGTCACCATTGGAATCATCCATAACCCTGACGTTTTGTGGTCGCTTCCACCTCCCGTGACATCCGTTTCGTGGCTGCGGCCACCGCTCCGCGTCAGAATTCCAAAGGTGCCCACGAGCTCAAAGAAGTTGAGGACCTCCGGCTTTATAGCATCAGATTAATTCTATTCAGTGGCAGAGTACCTCACAAACTTTATTGTGGCATAAGCTTTTGAGAAACACAGCTCTCTTCGTCAGATGATGATGAGAGCTGTGTTTCTCGAAAGCTTATGCCACAATAAAGTTTGTGAGTCTTAAAGGTGCGACTGGGCTTTTTTACTATTTCCTCAGTTAAAGGATCTCGGGAAACGGTAATGTCAAAAAAGACCTTGGAAAGCCGTTGCTCATCAGAATAGGGCAACCTCCTGTGTTCACAAGCTCTGCCTTTTGCCTTTGCCCTCAGCACAGGAGAGAGGGCAGCTACTATTGCCATTTTAGAGTGGGAAGTGAGGGCAAGGGCTGGTCCTTGCGCACTGGTTCAACCCCTCACGCACCAAGACAGGAACCGCATACCATATGGTCAGAAAATACCTGTGGAGGTGTCAAATCGGTCCCACAGAAATGAGCAAAGGCTCCAGGGCCAAAGCTCTACCCGATGGGCTGCGCTGCAAAAAGCAAGTTTCTAGACCTCAAACGTGCGCTGGATTTCAAAGCCAGGAGGCTAAACAAGGCATACAGAACTCAGGGAGGCGGACTTCGGCTTTTGGCGGTACCTCCTTGCAGCTGCAAAAGCAGCAGAGAAAGACACTGATTCATTAACTTGCAGTGTTCATTCAGCTCACACTTTTTTATTGCCTAGGTGCAGAATTTGGGTTAAAAAAAACCTTCAGCGTATGTAACAGAGCTGTCTCTGCCTGTGAACGCGCCAGAAGTACCACGGGCAGTCTCCACGACTAGGGCCTTCTTGGGGGTGGCACCACCTCTTTGGAATAGGTTGCCCGGGCAGAAAGGACAGTAAAGGTTATCTTAATCAGGAGGGCTGAAACCCACTCCTCTAATGGAACAGTGATCGTTCTTCAGATGAATTTTAAACATGCAGTTTATTTCACCAAGCTGCTTTGAAGATGAGAAGACGAATATGCCACTGAAACAAATACATTTAAGATTCGTTTCAGAGGGTGACCATGTCGGTCTGCAGCAGGATGGTTTCATTCAATATGTTGTCGAAGGCTTTCATTCAAGTCCAGAAGCACCTTAGGGACCAACAAGATTTTCGGGGTCTGAGCTTTCGAGAGTCGAAACTCCTTTCACTGGGTATCTATTGGCCTCTAAAGTGCCTCTGGACTTAGAAAATGAGATAAAATGAATGAACAGAACAAAACTAAGTCCTGTACTGAGCAAGGGGGTTGGAGTAGGTGACCTCTAGGATCCCTCCTAACTCTGTGTCAAGAAATGAGTCTTATTTAGGAGAGTTTTTCTGCCTCAGATTTCTTGATTGCAGGCGTCACCACCCCCCACCTGCTGGCTTATTATCAGAATTGTTGCTTAGGGTGGCAGAAGTGATTCACTTGCAGCAGCTGAGAACTGTCATTTAAAGTGACTGACAGCCTGCAGTTCAGAGATCTATCCTGGTAACAGCTTTCTCTTGGTTAAATGGTGAAGAACACCTATGTAGAATAGACAGCTTGAGAAGACTCAGAGAGAGGGAAGAGACTGCCTCGAAGCTCTCCTCAACGTCCACCCTGCTGCTATGCTTCCAGTGACTCTGCTCATCAGGAGTGCCAGTCGCAATCCTGGAGCTACGTGCTTGATAGGAAAAGTAGAGAGCAGAATAGCCAGCTAGGGTTTTTGTTTTGGTTTGCATTCCTTGCTGAATTGTATGCATTCTTTCCCCTATCTATGTGTTGCTTGTCCTTTGTTTTTGTAAATAAAGTTTTGTGTGTTTTTATACAAATTGGAGTTTACTGACCAAGCCCAGATAAGTATTTCCTGTGCCACGCCTACCATCTACCAGAAAACTTATTCTCCCTTCCCTCCCCCCCACCTTTCTCAGCCTGTTATTATCACATTCCAGGGCTGAGATTTGCAGAAACCTCTAGGCAAGGGGTGGCCAAACTGCGGCTCAGGAGCCACATGCAGCTCTTTCGCACATATTGTGTGGCTCCCAGCAGGGCGGCTGGGGAAGCGAAGGGGAGGCATGCTTCCCTGATTGGTCTTCCCTTCTCAGCCAGTGTCCCCCTAGCTGGGTAGGCTTGAGGTGAGGGGGGCAGAGGAAGAAAGCAACTTTAACTTTAAATGTGTTATCAAAGCCTGCTCCCAATGGCTTGGAGAAGGCATTTGTCTCTTTAAATCCCTTTTCCAAGCCAAGCTGGCTGGCATGGGTGTGTGTATGGGGGGGGGGGCGGTGTTGGAGAACACATTTAAATTTAAAGTTTCTTTCTTTCCAGCCCTCCCTCCCTCTCCATTTATTTGCTTTCTTTCCACCTCTCTTTCTCTCCCTCCTTCCTCCCCCATCTATTTGCGTTCTTTCCACCTCTTTCTTTCTTTTCACCTTTCTCTCTCTTTCTCCCTTCCTTCCTCCCTTATCTATTTGCTTTCTTTCTCTTCCTCCCTCCCTCCCCCATATATTTGGTTCTTTGTTTCTGTTTCACTTTCTCCTTTCTTTCATTCTTTCATTCTTTCCTTTCTCTCTTCCTCCCTCCCTCCCCATCTATTTGCTTTCTTTGTTTCTCTCTCTTTTTCTCTCTCCCTTCCTTCCTCCCCCATCTATTTGCTTTGTTCTCTCTCTCTCTGTGGCTCTTTCTCCACCCCTGCTCTGTGCTTTTGATTTTAAAAGGCTTGGTTCCACAGTAGCTGAGTCCTAATCCCCAGAATCTGCCTGTTCCTGACCTTGGTTTTACAACTCTCAAAATAGGGGCAAGCTCCAGTTCAGGTAAGGATCTCATCGTTGAGAGCTCCCAACCCCACTAGACAGAAAGGAGCATTTCTCACCACAAGCACCCGCTTCTGTGCGCGTCTAAATCAGAGTGTGTTGGCAATGTTCAGCTCAGCTCACTCCTTCAAAAAGTGCATTATTGTCCCCCACCCCCAATAAAAAGTCACACTTGTCAAAATGAGCCTTTTGGCCTCTTTTTAATCGATACAAACTAACGGTGGGCTTTGACCCCGCACATCATCTGAACAGACCACAAAAGGAGGGGGAAGAAGAGGAGACATCCAGAGCTGAGACTGCTGATTCCAGGCTTCAGTGGCAGGATTTCCTGGAATCCAAGAAGAGGAGAGGTGAGGAGGGACACAAAGACCTCCCCCGCCCGCAGATCCAGCATGGCTCATGTGCCAAAAAAAGGGCCCAGTTTGTCCACTTGCTGACAGCCTGGAGGGTGGTGTGAACTTTAGAAGCACAAAGCCCTCTCAGCAGAAGCCAAAAAGTCACCCAGTGAATCATTCCTGTCCCGCCTCTTGCACAATTGATGCAATCCAGCCCTCGCTGTGGCAGAGCTGTGTCACATTTTGCCTTGCGGGGAGTCTAAAGAAGACAAAATTGAGGCGTGCTTCCCGGCTTTGAATCCGAGAACATTCTCCAGAGCTACATTTTAACTCTAACTGTGGCACAGTAGCCACCAGAGCAAGGGAAACTGCTCCGGAGCGACTTCTGGGCTGATCTCTCTGTTGCCAGTGGTCTGCTGCTAAATTTATCACAGGAAGGTCCAGTGATACGTTGACTGCTGTTCCTTTTAAGGATGGCTTGAGACTGAGCAGAAGGGTGGGCCGCGGTCCCCTCCAGGGCAGAATTGCCTTTTCAAAGGCATCACACTACCCCTCCTCTCACAGCGGGAACGAAAGCCAGGGTGACGCAGGGGTTAAGAGCGTCGGATCAGTATTCAGGAAATCCAGGTTTGAATCCCCCCCCTCTGCCGCGGAAACTCACTGGGTGGCCTTGAGCCAGTCACGCACTCTCAGCTGAACTACATCTCAGAGTTGTTGAGAGGATAAAATAGAAAACGGGAGAATGATGCCAGCTGACTCTAGGGATGCAGTGCTCATCTCCGTTTCCAAGCCGAAGAACCAGCGCTGTCCGAAGACCTTTCCGTGGTCATGTTGCTGGCATGACTAGACACACTGTTACCTTCCCACCGAAATGGTTACCTATTTATCTACTTGCAATTTCTTGCTTTCGAACTGCTAGGCTGGCAGGAGCTGGGGCCAGAGACGGGAGCTCACTCCGTCATGCGGCACTCGGGTCTCGAACTGCTGAACTACCGACCTTCCGGTCTGCAGTTCAGCATCTTAACCGCTTGAGCCATCGCAGTCCCTACTGAACAGCATAAGAAGGGAAGCAATTAACTTCTGGGGAATTTGGAAAAGGACATTCCAGACTCCCCATTAACCAAGTACAAGGCCTGGGCTGCATGCAGACCTCAGAACCAACTACGGTTTACGAACCAGGGCTTCATCAAGACCTCCGCTTGGTCATGATGGCTGAAGACAGACCGTTCGGGGCAGGATTTCAGCTAGGGGCTCATGAGCCAGGTGGCTAGGCAGTCTGTGTGGAATGCCTGAATCCACAAACCACAGTTTGTCTGGCTGCTAAAAAAGCAGCAAGAAGGAGGGGGCCCTCCCTGCTGGTAGGCACCAGCAGACAAATCGGAGTTGGTTGTTTACACCTGACAGTCCACCCAGAGTCTGCGGTGCAAGCCAGGGTTTTGAGAAAACATGGAGAATTGCGATGCAGGAGTGCCGCCCTGCTGTGAACTGTCCTAGGGTGCTTGTTCTGTTAAGAGGCCCTACAGCGCCACCTAGTGGCAGGAGTGTGCCCCCAAACTCAGAGACTCCAACAGGGCCAAACTGACCAGATGACCCAGCTCCTGTCAGATAGCAATATACGAGAGATCGCGGGAAAAGCGGTTAAGAACCAAAATACGGCCGTGATACGATTCGATACTGCAAGCTACAGCAAAGAAATGGACTGAAGTTGCATAATACAATTCTACAAACAAATCGGACAAGATTGGTTTGACTGCCAGGTTTGCCTTGAGAAAGGATGGGAACGGGGATCTTTAGCCAGCCCGCTGGGAGCCCTGACAGTTGCCACACTCGGACTAAACATACGTGAGAAGAAATTGATCGGGACATAATGAGAGCTGAACTTTGGCACGAGTGTTTATTTAGAACCCTTTATCCGTTATAACCTTTGCATGTATGTGTTTATATGAATGTGTTTGGTAAACCACGTCGCTGGCTATACAGTGCTGCACTGAGTAATTATATTACAGAAAGATAATTTGGAAGTGGTATAGAACCCCTGCCCAATTGGCATATATGATCCAAGCTATGAAACCTAATTGCTGGCACTGCAATGCAAAAGAAGGGTGGTATTCTCACCTATGGTGGGAATGCCCAAAGGTTAGAGATTTCTGGGGAAAGGTACGGGGAAAGATAGTAGGATTAAGTAAGGTGGATATTAAAATAGATGGAGATCTATTATTTATGGGCGTATTGGGAAACTATAATATTGAGAGACGAAATCAGGATATTTTTTAAGCAGTGTTACTAGCAGCGCATGCTGTGATTGCATAGGGTTGGAAGGAGAGTCTGAAGTGGACTTTAGATAGATGGAACGGCTATCTGTACGAATATATCCAATCAGATCTATTGGAATGTATTAAACAAGATAAGGCATGGGATGGAAAGATGAAGGAGATAAAAAAGAAATGGTCTACATACTTTCAATGGGTAAATAAGGGAGAAGCCAATACTGTTATACTTGAAAAAATGAAAAAAATGTGCTCATGGTTAAAAATTAACTTGTAATTATGTGATGGTCACCTGGTGGGGGGTGGGATATAAAAGGGGGGGAAATGTATCATAAGAGAATTGGGATTGTATTGTAATATAATAATAATTTATGATGCATATAATTTTTTTTTTAAAAAAAGAGTAATTACATCACGGCGGTATTTGGGTTCTTCTTAATTACCCAGCTCCTGTTGGCAGAATCGCCCAGACCCTTTCACAGGGGTGCTGAAGCAGGTGGCACAGGCTTGGTCGTAAGCCAGATACACTCAGCACCAATGCTCCCTCTGAGCTGTGGAGTCTTGTGAGCAAAAATTCTGCTTTGTGAGCTACCGGCATCAAAGCTGTGAGCGAGCGATTTGGCTGCTGCATCAATTAGTTTGCCCAGGAGCCAAACTTCCTGAGCTAAGGCAAAAATCTGTGAGCTGGAGGCTGAAAAACTGTGAGCTGGCTCACACTAACTCGGCTCAGAGGGAACACTGCTCAGCACACACTCAGATTTAGGTTCTCGCCTGTCCCAGGCCTGGCATCAGAGACATGCGCTCTGGAGCTGGCTCGGGTTCGGACCCATCCCAACCTCATTCTGACATGCCAAGAAATGCAATGGCGTCCTTCTCAAAACATTAGATCACCTTCGCTTGCAAGAAAAAGCAAGCATGTCTCTGAACGAAGCAGAACGCCGGAATGGATCTCATGAGCACTGATGGGCACTCCCTCCCAGAATACCTACCTTCCCTTCCGTCAAAACTCTCCTAAAGACCTGCTGGTTGAACACGTGAAGCTGCCTCGTATTTAATCAGATCTTTTGGTCCGTCGAGACCAGTGTTGTCCACTCAGACTGTGGCAGCGGCTCTCCAGGGTCTCAGGCTGAGGCCTTTCACATCACCTCCAGCCAGTCTGGTGTCGTGGTTAGGAGCGCGGACTCTAATCTGGGAGAACCGGGTTTGATTCCCCACGTCTCCACATGCAGCTGCTGGTGTGACCTTGGGCAAGCCGTAGTTCTGATAAGAGCTGTTCTTGAAAAAAAGAGCCGTTTCTGTCAGAGCTCTCTCAGCCCCACCTACCTCACAGGGTGTCTGTTGTGGGGAGGGGAAGGGAAAAGAGATTGTAAACTGCTCTGAGATTCTTTAGGGTAGTGAAGGGCGGGGTATAAATCCAATCTCCTCTTCTTCTTCTTCCTACTTGAGCCCTTTAACTGGAGACGCTGGGGATTGAACCGGGGACCTTGTGCGTACCAAGCAGACGCTCTGCCACTGAGCCACAGCCCCACAGTTTCATGAAGCCTTGCTGAGCTCAGCCCCCAGTCAGGTCTCCGTGTGTCTGCTCTTGCATCTCTTGCAGCGCCTCTCCTCCTCTCCTTATCGCCCCTCTCTCCGTAGCCTTCAAAGGGCTCATTCAGCTCAGTTCAGCCATTGCATCAACCTGCATCCTGCCTTGTCGACAACCCGGACTGTGGCTTGAGCATTCCAGGTTTACAAGCAAACCGTGGTACGGAGCTGACCATTCACACTCTGCCGTCCCAATGCAGCAGCTGCCGGACGCAGCCATTTCAAAACCCATTTCCGATTCCGCCCCGCCTGGGCTCAAAACATGCTTTGTCCAGTTGTCAATTACACTCGGACTCAGGTCCTGCTCAGAAAGAAGCTTGTCTGTGATGGGTGTGAACTCCGCTTGTTCTTCTGCTCCCCTCCCTCCTCTCTCAGGTCCAGACTGAAAGCTTCCTAGGTTGGGAAGCCTCCAGACCAGTGAGCTGAGTCAGTGTGAGCTAGCTCACAGTTTTTTAGCCTCCGGCTCGCACATCGTTGTCTTCGCTCAGGAAGGGATGGCTCCAGAGCAAACTAATTGATGCAGTAGCCAAATCGCTCGCTCACCACTTTAATGCCAATAGCTCACAAAGTAGAATTTTTGCTCACAGGACTCCACAGCTTAAGAGGGAGCATTGCTCCAAACAGACCAAGTCTGCAGTGATATCTGAATACAGTCACCCGGGCAAACTGGAGTTTGGTTTCTTTCGAAACAAGATCCTAAACCCGCTGGGAGGGAAGGCGGCGCAGTGTAGCCTGATCTCATCAGATCCCGGAAGCCAAGCAGGGTCGGTAGCTGGATGGGAGATCGCCAGGGAAGCCTCTCCAGAGGAAAGCGGTGGCAAACCACCTCTGCTTCTCACTTGCCTTGGAAGTCCCTGGGCCAGGGTTGCTGTAAGTTAGCTGCCACTTGGTGGCACTTGAAACACATGCAGAATCTCAATTTGCAGAGAGGAAATATGCTCCAGGTTGCTCAGGCGTATACATCCAGATGTCTCAACAAACTGGAGTTTAACCCAAACCAGAACTCTTTTCCCTCGCACTCCGGGCAAGAACGGAGGGAGGGAGGGAGGGAGGGAGCGAGCGCAACAGTAAGAAGAGACTGGATTTATACCTCGCCCTTCAGTACCCGAGGGAGTCTCAGAACGGCTTACAAACTCCTTTCCCTTCCCCTCCCCACAACAGACACCCTGTGAGGCAGGTGGGGCTGAGAGAGCTCAGACAGAAACTGCTCCTTTTTCAAGAACAGCTCTTATCAGAACTACGGCTTGCCCAAGATCATCCCGCAGCTGCGAGTGGAGGAGTGGGGAATCAAACCCGGTTCTCCCAGGTTAGAGTCCGCGCACTTAACCTCTACACCAAACTGGCTGCATTCTGGCCTGTCATGGACAAGCTGGAACACCCGGATACAAGCTGTAATGAAGCTTCCTGAAACACCATTTGGTGTGACCTCTGAATATTGTGCTTTTATTTACTTACTTCATTTACACTCTGCCTTTCCCCCCAGTGGGGACCCAAGGCATTCTCCTGAGCTACATCTTCTCACAACAACCCTGTGAGGTAGGTCAGGCTGAGGGTGTGACTGGCCCAAGGCCACCCAGGAAGCTTCCATGGCAGAGCAGAGAACTGAACCTGGGTCTGCCAGATCCTAGTTTGACGTTCTAACCAACACTCTGATACTCTTTTCACTGAATGGGTGAAACAACTTAGTTTAGCGACCCATTCCTTTCAACAAGCTGTCATGATCTGGGCTGTGCTACCAGAGGCCTACTAGGCCCAGAGAGCCTGGCTAGCAGTAGGTGAGGCTGGGCCTACAATTCCCAGAAGCCCCTGGGAGGTTTTGGAGCCAAAATGGACCAATAGGAAAAGAGGAGGGCTGGGAATAAAAGTTCTGGAGCAGCAGGAAGAGCTGTTCTTTCTTCCAGAGGGCAGAGCCGGAAGGAAGGCTGCTGCAGGGGAGAGACCCTCATTCTGAGGACAAGGTGAATACTGTAAGGCCACTTGAGATAGTGAGCTAGGGACAGGGTATATTTAGACGCATTAGGGCATTTGATTTCTTTTCTTTTCACCCACTTACTGTTATTATTCTGCACCTTGTTGTTTGACCTCCTATAAAATAAACCTTTTCCTTGTTTCACTCTGCCTGGTCCTCACGCCTATTATTCGGCCAAAAGGGATGTCTTAAGGTCTTGGGAGGGTGCTCTGGGCCTTCTCAAGGGAACCTAAATCCAGAGTGGTGGCAGCGTCAGGTGACCCCCCACCTGAGTCGTGACACAAGCCTAGAAGGACAGCTTGTTAATGTTAATTACAACCTGTGCTCCCTCTAAGCTGAGCTAGTGTGAGCTAGCTCACAGTTTTTTAGCCTCCGGCTCACATATTTTTGTCTTAGCTCAGGGAGGATGGCTCCAGAGCAGACTAATTGATTGCAGTAGCCAAATCGCCCGCTCACGACTTTAATGCCCGTAGCTCACAAAGTAGAATTTTTGCTCACAAGACTCCACAGCTTAGAGGGAGCATTGACCTCCCCTCCCCCCACGACGACATGGGGCGGGGCCCTCAGAGACGCCTGCCTCGGCTACGGCTGCCCTGAGATGAACTTCCAGTTCCTGCCGTTTAGCACCAGCCTGCACTGTTCCCTGGCTAGAATCTGCCTCACGGGGGACAGGAGGTTGTTGACACAGTTGCGGGGGGGGGGGGGAGACGGGACACTCACCCTCCTCACTCCAGGGCTTTCACCAGGGCTTCGTTGGCCTCCACACTGATCTGGGCTTCGGCCTTGGCGGTTTCGTCAGAGGCCGAGGCGAGCTCCGACAGGGCCTTTTCCAGGTTCGACTTGGCCACCTGTGAAAGGGCAAGGAATCAGCACGGAAAGGTCCCTGGCTCAGGGGGAGGGGATCTGCTAGGGCTCCACCGCAAGCTAAAGGAACTGACAGCTGCTACCGGGTAAGGCTAAGGTAAAGGTTTCCCTTGCTCGAAAGCCAGTCGGATCCGACTCTAGGGTTGCGGTGCTCATCTCCGTTCCCAAGCCGAAGAGCCAGCGCTGTCCGAAGACTTCTCTGTGGTCATGTGGCCGGCGCGACAAGACGCCGAGGCGCACGGAACGCTGTTACCTTCCCACCGAAGTGGTACCCTATTTATCGACTTGCAATTTCTTGCTTTCGAACGGCTAGGCTGGCAGGAGCTGGGGCCAGAGACGGGAGCTCACTCTGTCACGTGGCACTCAGGTCTCGAACTGCTGAACTACCGACCTTCCACAGCCTGCAGTTCAGCGTCTTAACCACTTGAGCCACTGCAGCTCCGGGGCTCAGTGCTAAATGCTACGCTTTACTTGGAGCAAACAGCAGGTGGTGCTGCTGAGTAGACTCACCCCCTCGGCTTCTGGGCGGGTTCTTCCATTTTGGCCACTCTGGTCTGCTTTACTACTTGCTCCTGGGCTCTCCCCCCCCACCCCCATTTAGCTGATCTGCTCCTCTTTCTTTATGTGTGTGTGTGGGGGGGGAGCAGTCTGTACACCTCAAAAAGTGATTCCACAGCTGTTGCTTTATCCCAAGAGCTCTTCCTAATCTTTCCGCCAGCGATGCTTGATCCTTGATGCTTTCACCATCACCCCCCCCAGTTTTTCATGATCATATTATCACATTTCTGGCTTCGCTTCAGTGCCACCTTCACAGACGTTTCTTTCACTCTGCGGCAGTTTGAGTGCTCTGCATCAACCCATGCAATCGAAGAAAAGCACTTTGCTGGTATGTGCACCTACTTCGGTCGGCTAACCTGGAGTTATTCCGATCAGGCATCTCTACACCAATCAATTTACAATACACTGTTAATGAGGAGCTGCAATCCTCCCTGGGAAGCTTTAAACGCCTGGGGCGAGTTCTCTCTCTCACCAAGGCATCTGCCGCTTGAAACGTGAACACTGACCTTGCTGCAAGGATATTGATTTCCCCCCCCCCAAAAAAAGAGACGGGGGCAGAGTGCAGCTTAGTCAGCGCCACAAAACATCCCTTCCGCCGAGGGCCCAGGAGGTTAGAACTTCCTGCGATGTAAGGGGATGTCCAACCCTAGCAGCTTATCGAGAAGGCGAGCTTCCCACCAAGGATGGCGTTTCAGTGCCAGCAGGGATGCGCACACAAGGCATGTTGAAGAAACGACAAGGGAAATTAACTAGTGGGTCACCGTCACATTTCTTTGTCAAAGCCCCCCTGACCACTGAGGTGTTTGTCTCACACAGCACAAAACATATATTCTGCAAACCTGGATATACGTTTGTTGGCAGTAACATTATCGCCTGAGCGAGTCAAAACCGTGCGACAGTACACCTGTGTCTAAAGAACACGAGGAGCAATTCCAAGCTACTGGAAGATAAAGGAGAAAGGGCCCCAATCTGTGACGCTGAGCAGGCGGTCTGACCGCAAGTAGCTGGATAAGAGAGAACGTCTCATTCTGTTCCTTGAGCCGAGACTGCCAATCCAGAATCCTCAGAACCACCCAGCTACGACATCCATTCACATCCCATCCTCCCAAATTGCTGAACATTTAAAAGATTATTATTTTTTTTTTGGCCTGAGAGAAAAAGCACCGGCCCAAACTTTTTAGTTCCTCCTATGCTCTCACACCACCACAGATCCGCCAGGGGGGGGAAAACACACACACAGCATTTCCAGTTTGACTGGGGAACTTGCATAAGAACACAGTCACCCTTTTGCAGATTTATAAAATCGCCCTTTTGGGCAAGGCCAGCACTAACCGTAAGGTCGAGGTGATCCAACTGTGCTACTTCTTCAGCTAGCAGTTGGACGGAGGAGTCGGCATTCACTGTGACGGAACCACTGCTCACTGCAATCGCACAACGGAGAGAGGGTCAACAGAGGATACCTGAGCAGCAGGACAACAGCTCAGACAGAAGAAGGAGGAGCGGGGGGGAGGAGACTGGATTTCTACCCCGCCCTTCACTACCCAAGGGAGTCTCAGAGCGGCTTACAAACTCCTTTCCCTTCCCCTCCCCACAACAGACACCCTGTGAGGTGGGTGGGGCTGAGAGAGCTCTGACAGAAACTGCTCTTTTTCACGAAGAAGAAGAAGAGATTGGATTTATACCCCGCCCATACCCAAGGGAGTCTCAGAGCGGCTTACAAACTCCTTTCCCTTCCCCTCCCCACAACAGACACCCTGTGAGGTGGGTGGGGCTGAGAGAGCTCTGACAGAAACTGCTCTTTTTCACGAAGAAGAAGAAGAGATTGGATTTATACC